TGAGTGTGTGTCAGTGTGCAAGTGTGAGTGAGAGTGCGAGTATGTGTGAGTGTTAGAGTGTGAGTCTGTAAGTGTGTGAAATTGTGTGTGTGTGTGCACGTGAGTGAGTGTAAGTGAGTGCGTGAGTGTGCATGAATGTGTGTCAGTGTTCAAGTGTGAATGTGAGTGCGATTGAATGTGTGTGAACGAGCGAATTAGTGTGAGTGAGTGTGTGAGTGAGTGAATGTGTGCATGTGTGTGAGTGAGTGTGAGTGAGTGAGTGTGTGAGTGTCAATGTGTGCGTGAGCAAGTAAACGAGTGTGAGTGTGCAAGTGTGTGAAATTGTGTAAGCGTGTGTGTGACTTAGTGAGTTAGTGTGTGTGCGTCAGTGTGAGTGAGTGTACGAATGAGTGTGCGTGTGAGTGTGCGTGAATGTTTGTGTGTGTGTGTGCCAGTGTGAGAGTGTGAGCGAGTGTCTGTGTGTGTGCGTGAATGTGTGAGTGCGATTGAGTGTCAGTGTAAGAGTGTGAGTGAGTGTGTGAGAGAGTGTGAGCGAGTGTGTGTGTGTGTGTGTGTGTGTGTGTGAGATTGTGCGAGTGTGTGTGTGTGTGTGCGTGCGTGAATGTGTGAGTGCGATTGAGTGTGTGTCAGTGTAAGAGTGTGAGAGTGTGAGTGTCTCAGTGTGTGTGTGTGCATCAGTGTGTGTGTTAGTGTGAGAGTGTGAGTGAGTGTGAGAGAGTGTGTCAGTGTGAGAGTGTGTGTGAGAGAGTGTGTGTGTCAGTGTGAGAGCGTGAGCGAGAGTGAGAGAGTGTGTCAGTGTGAGAGTGTGTGAGAGAGTGTCAGTGTGAGAGTGTGAGAGAGTGTGTCAGTGTGAGAGTGTGTGTGCGTCAGTGTGAGAGTGTGAGGGAGTACCTGAGCTGTACCGGCTGAACGAACTCTTTGCGGAAGCGTTTGAGTTCTGCGCTCAGCGGCTGGTCTCCGTTCTCCATGGCCATCTGATCCGCTTCCGTGGGTTTGGGTTCAGGAATATCAAACCTGGAACGCAAATGCACAGACTGTATGGAGAGATGTTTCCATGGATATGACAATAACTTCACAGTGTGAGCAAAATTATCATCACGACCGACAGAAAACACATAAATAAACAGCTGATTATGGCTGAGCTGTTTTTATTTTAAATCACCGTATTACAATAATGTTTTTAAACAAAAAAAGCTAGAAATGATCACATTACAGTGAAAAGTAACTAAATACACAAAACTATTTATGCACCATTAGGATTAACAAAATCTTAACTGAAAAAAGACAAATAATAAAAATAATAAACAGTGCAATTAATAGGCTAGGCCATTAGCAGTCTGTTATATGGATGTCAGCAGCTGTTTGCAGTGCTGATTGTGTGAATGTGAGCGTCTGACCTCTCCATGAGCAGATCCAGCAGCTCCTGAGGTTTACAGAACGATCGGTACGTGGTCAGAAACGTCCGGACGAAATTAGGATCTGAAAAATAAGAGGAAAAATATTTTGTTTAACAAAAACCGCTTGATTATCAAACTATTTCCTTCCATTCACAGTGCAAATTAAACATAGCCCTGGAGAAGGTGAAAAATTACTCATTTCCAAATTTAAAGTCAATTTTATGCCAGCTTATATATATTAAAACAAACAAGCAAACAAAAAAACACTGAGTCCAGAGACCAGGGCTATTATAGTGAAGTAAAACCACTAAAACTAAAACCATACAAAAATCATTTTTTGTGATTTGAAATAAAACAAATGTCAACTGAAATAAAACAAAATATAAACTTATTTTTATTTCAGTTAGTTTCCAAGACTTTGTGTATTGAAATAAAAACTGAAATAAAATGAATAAAAACTACACGGGCATATTCAAAAACAACAAAAACTAATAAAAATGAAAAGCACACGACAAAAACTTTAAAATTAACAGGAAAGCAGAAAATATATTAATATTCAAATATTCTTCAAATTAGTATCAAAATCTATAATAGTAGTTCAGTGATACTAAAATAACAGCGGATCATTCATAACCGTATTATGGTGGTAATGAAGTAATGAGAAATTTTGGTGCTTAAATGTGATGAAAATTATGTAAATTAAGTTTTTAGGAATATTAAAGTTTTTATTTTCATGATGAAAATATAATTTCCCGTTCGTTCCCACACATTAAAGTCTGACTTTTCCAGGTTGTAAGGAGTATTTTGAGCTGAAACGTCACAGACACATTCTGGGGACACCAGAGACTTGTATACATATTGTGAAAAAGGGGCATAATATGTCTCCTTTAAAGCCGTTTTCAGATGGCTCTCATTGAGTTCAAACACATAATCAATCGCTCATTATTCAGCGTTTTCATACAGCGAGTCGTCAGAGCCGATCTCAGGCCTGTGTGTGTGTCTTTACGGAGCAGAGCATGATGGATCTGTTCTGATCTGACCGACGCAAACAATAGAAGCTCAGCTCCAAACAATCGGCCTGGAATTATTCTAGCCAGGAAACAGACACTCGGCTCTGAAGCACAA